CATTTCTTGCGCGAGAATCACGTAATAAATACATTTTGTAACATGCACGGGATTACGCGTAATCGTGTGGCACACGGAACAATTATATGCAATCAGCGATTGCCCGTTTACATACGCTTTCGTTTCATCTCACGTATATCAATACCATTTCTGGGACGAGAGATTTCGTTAATTGCACGCCTCGTTCGAATCCTCTGCTCTTCATTTGTGATGTGCCTAGCAAACGTTCGTTCTATCTCTGATTTACGCTAGCTCTATTACATCACGAATTATTCTTCACTTGATTGACAAATAAAAATTAATCGTTAGAAAGGATAGTTTGATTCTTTTAGTTAGATGTCGAAAGTGTCTCTAAGCGAATTAAAAATTAGTCAGAGTTGATAGATGGAGGATATTTAAAAAATTTTGTCTAAAGTATGAAAATATATAGATGCACATAAAATGAACAGATTATCCACATATTTTATATGTGCTACGTGATGACAATTAGGAATGTTAATATTTATTACATAAAAACTAATTAAGTGATAAAAGCATCAACACGTTTTATTAATTATAAGAACAAAAAATGTAAAATTTGTTGTAAAATTTGATAGCTTTGACAACATTAAACGAATATTCATTAGACGAAGCAAATTTTTATTCGAATATTATTTATTTAATTATATGTAAAAAAAAAAGGTAAATTTATAAAAACAAGTGAATTGTTTTGTAATTGTGAAAATAAAATAAACATGATAGTCTGTGTAAATATCATATTTCCCGCATCGAAATTTATTTACTGTTCGCATTAAAATTTTTACATTTTGCCAATATTATATTATATTATTCAAAATGTTTATCAAGTATTGGTTCGTCAATCATAAACAAATCTGATTGAAAATTAAATTGTACAATTAATTAATACTGAACTGATCGTCTTTGGTTATAGCGTGATTGAAGTAAAATACAGGTCGGGGTTAGAAATTGCATTCATCGATTGCCATTGAAGAGGCAATTATGTCTTGTGCGGGCTTCGAGTTAGGTGAATGTTAACATCAATTGGATTATTTTAATTGATAGATAGAATAGTTGAGTATTATGAGCGATTAAACGAGAAATTGTAATATAGTTAAATTCCTTTCACAATTTTCACTCTCTACGAAATTTATAAACATTCAAATAAAATTGTTTATAAATATAAATCAATCTTTACCAATTTTTAAAATTACTTAAATATTTTTACAGCATAATTTTTTGAAATGATAACACATTTTGATTATGAGTATTAATTGCTTTTAATTATTATGTAATTTTTATGTCAAGTAAAATTTTAATAAAACTTTCACACACACACACTTGAAGATATTCTCATCAGTTGAGAAATACTGATACGGATCAGTGATTTTCAATCTCATTATGGCATTCACAAAATAATTAAAATTTTACAGCATATCGATTATCTTCAATTTTCTTTTTTTGGAATCATTTTCAAAATCTTACTTACAGCAATAATTAAATAGTAATTTTTATTTTTATTTTTTTATATAAATTCGATATGATTACGATCATTTCAGATATATATCTGTGAACTTCTCATATTATGTATTCAAAAATATAAATGATTCTTTTTCGAATATTATCCTATTAGTCTCAATTTATTCCCCTTTCTCTTCCCACTTAGTTTTCTTCGATTTCTTATCATCCTACTAATCTCAAAAAAATTAAAATCATAGTAATAGGAAAATAATTTATTCCTCACTTTCCCTCTCCCCCTTGACACAAAAGTAAATGAAATGTGCCCTGATCGTAATCGCGTGCAATCTTACATTTCAAAGGAAGGAAACGTAGATTATACGGTAAATTTACGGGAGAGACCACCAGCAGATAGAAATATCCCGAGCCGCACTCGAGACCGCAGCTAATATTTGCAGTGCGAACAATGCACCGAGTGGCTGAATGCTCGAACGTTCGTTATTCCTGATACCTGGAGTGACGTATCTAGGTGGAGGGAAACGGGGGAACCTTTGGTTATACCCGCTTCTTATCGTGACCTCCTTGCGCTACTTGTCCGCCTGTTCTGATGGTAATTCCCTTTCTTTCCCATTTTCTCCCGTTTTTGTTCGATATAATTGCCAACCAACGCGAGGTGTCTCGCTGTTTGACCGTTCGAATTCTGCGTTTCGACTTTGTAGTCGGCGCGAAATTGCTTGTCATTTCACAGAAACACAGATTCTTTGGAAACTTTTCGATACAAGCGTGGATCGGATTTTTTTCGGATTTTTCATCTTACGTTCATCTTTGGAACTGACACCGAAATTGCTCGTAGCTTTCTGCGATTTCTTTAGAGGAGAAATATTATTTTTAAAATATTAGAAAATTATTAATTAGAAAAAATAGTAAAAGGAATTTTGAGATCAATTTTCGTGCTATGTGGAACGTGTATAAGTCGATCCGAATGTTCTGATAGCTTTAAGATCGAATATTTTGGTTTAAAATAATTTTCATATTCGAATTTCTAAAAGAAATAAATTTAGGAAAGAAACGTTAATATCTATCTTTCTATGTTCCAAATCGTTTTTGTACAGAAGAAAGTTATTAAGTGCGAGTGTCAAGCGAGTGTCGAGTTTGATTTTGATGAATTTGATCGCGAACGGAGTAAATTGAATTGGAAACTTTGTAATTCGATCCTTTAATCTCTTGTCTATTTATCTTGACGATCAATTTTCGCTTTCCACCAATGTCAGTTAAGAGTTTCAAGTAAAACGGGGAAGAAAACGGATTGATGGTGAAAACTTTCCGCATTATCTCCACGAACGTAATTCAAAGGATGTTTGAATATTTAATAACATTTTTCTCGTTGAAATAAATCGTAAAAATAAAAAACGATAAAGAATTCAGATATTCAGAATATTAAATTTTAATTTGAAGATATTTTAAACGATATAAGTTAAACGAGTACATATAAATGTATTTTCTCTTTCTTTTTATCTTTACTTTATCTTTTTATCTTTTTTCATACGAATTACAAATTATTAAAATTATTATTAAAATATTATTCCATAACTATAATAAATAAAAAGATGATATATAAGTTAAATACCGTGTAATCTTGGACATTAAAAAATCATTTTAAAAGATAATATTATAATTTATTAAAAAAAAAAAATTTATGTAAAATTTTTCAAGGAGAGCGCTTTGTCTATTCGAAGCAACAACGTGGTAGAGAGAATTATTAAAAAAAAAAAAAAAGAAAAGAAAAAGAAAAAAAAGAAGAAGAAAATTTACCACGGGACTCGGTAAAAAGCGTGAAATCGCTGAAATTGAAAGGATAAGCATAAAGCAGATTGCAAAATGAAGAGAATTTATACGACACACAATGCGGGTTGTTACTTTCCCCTTGAAAAATTACTCCTACATACCGTGTATATCTGTGTGCACGATGAAAAGGGAAAAGGCAAACAGTCGAACGAATTAGCACAATGAACGCGCGCCAACGTGAAACGTAGGAGCGAAAAAATAATTTAGGGAAGGAATATTTATCTTAAAACGATGCTTGAATTTGTTAGTTTGTTGTCAACTATTTGCTCTCTAAATAAATTGGATATTTTTTTAAATGAAAACATGTGCAAATAAATTATTTTCACATTTTAAATGTTCAAGATCATTACCTCTAATGATAATTAAAAAAATCAATAATTATTATCTAGATCATATATCTTCTTACAGTTGTCCTGTAAAATTATTTTCTACGATGAATAGTTTCATATGAATAAGCTTCGTATGAAAATAGGCAATACGTTTTTACTTTTGAGTTCTATTGTATTTTTTGCGCCCATCAAAATACGAATTTACATAAACATCCGCATAATCTGATTATGAATAATGTGTTTCCGACTAATGTCCCTTCAGAGCACCGTAAAATTTGTCGCTCCTTGTTGCATGCGTTGTATGTAGGTTAATTGTGTTATATAACGAGGTGCACGTGTGTAAAAACACGAGTCGATAAAGCGATATAATTTTCAAAATTGAAAGGTATCAGCGAAGAGGCGTATTGTATCCACTGGAAACAATGGATAACGGCAAAGACCTACATCGCTGAAACTGCTCTGCTTTTGAGAATCGATCGTGTTGCATTAAGCTCTTTAATTAAAATGTTGCCCGTGTGTGTAAGTACATGAAGTGGTCAAGGAATTCTTGTATCGATACGTTGTAAAAGTTGTTTAACATTTAGGATTTTCTGAAATTACGGCGATGATTGAATCATGACAGCAGTGTGAAACTTCTTCGATATTGATTTAATATCGTGTATTTATTTTTATTTTTTCAAATACTATTTTGGAAAATAAAAATCATTATTGCCAAATACGAGAAAATGAAAGTGATATTTTTGAGGAAAAAGAATGACATTATTTTATGAATTGTTAAAAGATCAGCAATATTTCGTCGTGAAATGAAAGGAAATAACGATTTTAGAAAATTTTACAATCTAAAATCATCTATATAATATTAAAAATATTGAAAAAGAATTGAAAGAAAGAAAAAAGGAATATTTTCAAAATATATGACATAATAATAATTAGTATTTCGTAAATTTCTAATTACGAAATATATAAAAAAAAAATATAAGTATTACGATACAAATTTGAATCATCTAATGCACATATAAGGAATAAGAGAAATATGTCGTTCTTATGATAAAATTCTTTGCAATTCTAGCGGGGAAAAAGGTCAATTTTTAAAGAGGACACGGTACAAATCGTCTCGCGAATTATCAAGTTTCGCTACGTTATGAAATAGACTTAGCGCCTATCTTTATTGCATGCATATGTGTGCAGTATTTCAGGTTAACATGCATTGCCTCTAATACTCCGCCAGGTAAGTACATTGTACCTGTACCGGTACGGATGTAATAATGTCGCGCGATGCTAGTGACATAACTCAACGATGGCCACCATTCATGTTACAGAGTGTCTGAATTTTAATCAGTGACATTTCGAAGAATATTAATTTGTTAGTACACGACATTATACTTTGTATTACGACGACTTTATTTTATTTTATTTTTTTTCTTTTTCGATATATAATTGCTAATAAGAGAAGATATGGAAGCCAATTTTTTTCTATCTTTTTCTATCGTACATTTTTATAATTAATTTTAAAAAATTTTAATTATCCTTTCTTAATTTCTTAATTGTTTATCGATTTATTAGAAGTAAAATTGATTGAATTAATTATTGATTATTGCTGATATATTTTTAGTCCTAACTTACAACGAATATACTTAAAATTCCTCAATTATAATAAATATTTTTTTTAACTTTTCAAAATTTGTATTGAATTATTATTATTATTTGGAAATTAATCGATATAGAAAATTAAATTAACGAATACCAAAGTACAATGTTAAAAAAATTGTGGATATGTATATCAATTAATATAAATTCATGGATTTTTAAAATTAATTTTTCTGTCTTGTATATGTGCAATGAGTATTATATTTTATGACCACTTACGTATTAATTTCGTAAAAACATATATCAAAAACCTTTTTTTTTTTATTCTTCCGCTAATTAATCTTTTTCAAATTGAATAATGGTATCTAATATGACGTAAATTTCTTATATTAGAAAATAAATATATACAACTTATCTT